GCCCCCTCGTGGGTTCTCAGCACCCACTGGGCAACCCCACGTGGGTGGAGGAATTCAGATGTTAGCAATGACATCTCTGCTAAGGGTATGGGGCCTCCTAATCTGAGAGCTGCCAGGAGGAAGCCCTGTCCTCAGGGAGGGGTGGGGAGCTATAGACAACATTGTAGTTGGGCAGCTGCTCTGGCTGAGAGGGACATTCATCACGGTCTTTCCATCTGCCCAACCACAAGGAGCCTTGGCAGATAGGAGATGAGGAGGACATGAGGACAGAGCCCACACTTACCATCTCCATAGATTTTTACCGCTCGCCTCCTGGGAACCCGGGCAGGAAGGAGAAGGAAGACAGACAAGTTAGGACCCCCTGGAATGTCACCAGGAGAAAGGGTCTGGGCACCAAGCCCCAGCAGAGTGTAAAGGAGATGGAGGCTGGGCCTCTGCCTCCTGAGGACATCCTCCCCGAATCCCACCCTGGCACTGGGCGAGCCAAGGGACAGGCTTCGTGGTGTCTGACTCATCCCAATGGAGAAAGGTGGGGAAGAGCTGAAGGGCAGAGTCTTGGGGGGAAGACTACAAGAGTCCCCATGCCCAAGAGCCCAGCCCCAGCTCTGTTTTGAAATGGCTGTGGCACCCCAGGCCTGTCACTTAACCTCTCTGGATACCCTTGGCCTTCCAATGACTCAAAGTGGCATTCAGAAGAGCAAAGAGAGGCGAAAAATGCTTTTGAAAAGATGAAAGTGCTGGACAGATGTAAACAATTCCCTTGAATGAGAGCCCAGCACACGGCCTGGCCCAGAATAGGTACACTGCCAGTGTTTGCAGAGTGGACACAGGAACCATGAGTAAAAACATGGAGGCTGAGCCATTCCTACAGGGCCCACAGCTAACTAGAGGGCACAACCCAGCGTATGCTTACACACAACGAAGAGCCTCCCAGAAGAAGGTACAAAGAGAAAGATACGGTGATCAGGAAAAGCCACATAACTCCTTATTGTTTTCTCTAAGACATCAGCAGTTCTTCTAGTCCTTGGAGGGGCCAGGAGGAGGCGGGGCATGGACACAAAGACCTCGTGAGGCTGGCTCCTTACCCTGGACTCACAGGTTCCGACTGCAGGGGCACTCTCCGGGTCTTGCCAAGGGAGGCCAAAGGGGAGCTCATAGCTCTGCTTCTAGATTCTAGCTGTCAGGAACTCCCTGAGAAGAAAGAAGTAAGTCAGCCCTGGAGGACACTCCCTCAAGAAGTGGCCTGAAACCTCCTCTTCCCTGGCAACTTTTCCCAGGAGGGAGCACTGTCCAGTGAGCAGCACCCCTCACTTTTTCCCACTGCCCCTGCAGAAGTTTCTGGAGGCAGCTTAGCCTCAGGATCCCTGTGCTTGCTGTTTCACCTGCTCCTCTGGACATCCAGCTCTCTGCTCGGATCCTGGAGGCCTCTGGCCTGACAGTGCTTAGGAAAGGGCGGTGGGGAGATGGGCTCGGGGGAGGGAGGCGGGTAGAGATGGGCCAGAGCCTGAGACTTGCCCAAACTTAGAGCCTAGGCACAAGACTACCCAGGAGGCCTGGGGCTTTCGTCCATCTATCAAGGAGCTGCTCCACACAAAGCCCAGGGGTCCCCTCCTCTCCTACTAGAACCCAGGCGCCACCCCTAACATCTCAGAGCCAGAGAGGAGCTACCCAAAGACAGGATTCGACCAAGACATGGTCCCCATAGTGGGGACATCAAAAGCCCAGGCTGTGGACAGGTTCTGCCATCTACCCGTGTAACCCATGCCTCAGTTTCCTTTGGTGTAAAATGAGGATGGTATTATACCAGCCAGGCACGGTTACCCAGGGGACTCAGAGAGAACACTCATAAAGCACCTAGCCCAGTGCCACCCTCAAAGGAAGCACTTAAAAATGTGACTTGTTGGGGCGGGCCTGGTGGCTCAGCAGTTAAGTGCGCACGTTCAGCTTTGGCGGCCTGGTGTTCACCGGTTCGGATCCCAGGTGCAGACATGGCACCACTTGGCAAGCCATGCTGTGGTAGGTGTCCCACATACAAAGTAGAGGAAGATGGGCATGGATGTGAGCTCAGGGCCAGTCTTCCTCAGCAAAAAGAGGAGGATTGGCAGCAGATGTTAGCTCAGGGCTAATCTTCCTCCAAAAAACCCCAAAAAACAAAACACGTGACTTGTGGCTATGTGGCTTTTGTTCTTATTGGCACATGGAAGGCACTCATCAATGTTGGTTTTCCTTCCTTCCCTCTTCCTTCTGGAAAGATGAGTGCACATCAGGGATGTAATTAAAGGTCATACTCCATTCAAAGAATTAAGCATCTTAGGTGGCTAATATCTAGAAATCTTGGAACCAAAGGACCTCCATCAGGGCCTGAAATCATCTTTTGTTCCACTTTTGAAATGTGTGACCCTGGCCTCCACCCTGTGCTGAAGCTGCCCAGCAAGGGGACAAGTGAGGCCTGAAGGCCGCCTCCTCTGTCTTCATTCTGGAGTTTGAGACTCATGCCCGGCTCCTTCCTCAGGAGGAGTCCTCCAAGGACCAGGCCCGGAGTTTCCTTGCCCAACACCACCCAGCCTCCCACATCTGCGCTGCCCCTGCCGTCTTGTCTGGGCATCCTCATGGTTTGTGTGGCCAAGTGTGACAGCCCCCTCTTGGTTCCCTTCCCCAGTGTCCACACGCTGCCAGAGGGATCTTTTTAAACACAAAGCTGAGACGTCATTTTCCTCCTAAAAGTGCCCAATGACTCCTCTCACCCACAGGAAAAAAATTCAAAATTCCTTAACATGGATGATCTGGTCCCTGCCTGTGTCTCCTGACCTCACCCCCCACGGCCCCCCTCCTACACTTGAGCCACTCTGAACTGCCAGCTCGGCCTCAAATGCACCATGCCTTTGCGCACGTTGCTGCCGGCCTGGAACCCCCTCCTGGAATGATCTTCCCACTCCTAACCACACCCTTCCTTTGGCTGAGTTAACTCTTTTTTTTTTTTTCCTAGCTTTTTTGGTTGTTCTTTAGTTATATTTTGACTTTTTACTTTAAAATTATTATAGATTCACAGGAAATCAGGAAAATAGTACAGAGAGCTCTTGTGTATCCTTCACCCAGTTTCCCCCAATAGTTACGTTTTATGTCCCTATATGTGTGTGTCCTTCTACGCCATTTCATCCACTGTGTAGAGTCTGTGTAATGACCACTGTGGTCAAGATACAAAACTATTCCATCACTGCAAAGGCCCCCTCATGTTACTCCTTTGTCGTCACAGCCATGCTCCTCCTCCAGCATCCCTAACCCCTGACAACCACTACTCTGTTTTCCATCTCTATAATTTTCTTACTTTAAAAATGTTATATAAATGGAATCATACAGTATGTGAACTTTCTTTTTCAAAAAAAGCTTTATTGAGATATAGTTCACATACTTAATGCTGTTAAGTGTACTATTCAAGGGTTTTTAGCATATTCACAGAGGTGTGAAACCATCACCACAATCTCAGAATATTTTCATCGTGCTAAAAAGCCCCAGGCACTGTGCTTTTAGAGGCTAGAACTGTGCTGCATGAACTCCCACCAGACCTGATTATCCCTCCCTTCTCCAAAGGATTCGCATCACTATCTCATCACCATTCTCAAGACCCTCCAAAAGAAACTGGTTGAAAAGACAAAAATTAACAAGTGTTGGCAAGGATGTGGAGAAATTGGAACCTCTGTTGGGATGTAAAATGGTGCATCTGCTGTGGAAAAAGAGTCTGGTAGTTCATCAAAAGATTAAACAGTGATGTTATGGCCCAGTAGTTCTACTCCTGGGTATATACCCAAGAGAAATGAAAACTTGTATCCACAGGAAAACTTGTATACAGTTCATAGCAGCATTATTCCTAATAGCCGAAAAGTGGAAACAACCCAAATGTCCATCAACCAACGAATGGACTAGCAAATGTGGTATAAATATCTCCTTATAATGGAATGTTATTTGGCAACAAAAAAGAAATAAATACATGCCACAATGTGAATGGACTTTGAAAACATTATGCTAAGGGAAAGAAGTTAGTCACAAAAGACCATGTATTGTTATGATTCCATTTATTTGAAATGTTCAGAACAGGCAAATCTATAGCGACAAAGTAGACTAGTGGTTGCCTAGGTTGGGAGGGGTAGCTGGGGGTAAATGGGGGTAATTGCTAAAGGGTACAGAGTTTCTTTTGAGGCTGATGAAAATGTTCTGCAATTGTGGTGATTGTGGTGATGGTTGCACAACTCTATGAATATAATAAAAACTATTGAAATTTACATTTTAAAGGGGTGAAGTATATAATATGTGAATTATATCTCTATAAACCTATTATAGAAAAAAGAAGGACCTGGTCCCCAAAACAAATCCAAATCTTCCCTCAAAATAAGCTCTTCCCACATCTCTCTTCTTAATGGGACCCCATCACCCAACCACAAATTTTTTCTCTTCTTCCTTCCCTCTTAACCCCATCAGTTGCCAAACGCTGCAGGATAGACTGCATTTTCTCTCACAGATAGCCCCTCCTTTCCATGCCCACTGTTGGCCATCCTAGGGGAGCTCTCACTGCGCTTCTTTGGCCCCCAACTGACTTCCCTGCTTCCAGTCTCAGTCCAAGCCAATCCGACATACTGTCTCCAGATCACTTTTCCCATGGATTAGAGGAGACCCCTGAGGGCGTATCTTCCCATCAGTCTGGGGACTCCTGAGGGCGGCGCTGTGTCCCCTCCTCCCTCAGACCAGGGGTCCCTGAGGACAGAGCCATGTTTTCTCCCTTCACTTTGGGGGCTTCCAGGGGCGGACTGTGTCTTCCCCCTCAGGTTGGAGGTGACTCAAGATTAGACTGTCCCCCTGCCTTCAGATTCGGGCTTTGAGGGGAAAGCTGTGTCCTATGCCTCTACGTCTGTAGGACCCAAGTCAGAACTGTGCTTGATCGACAACATCCTTCACACCTACGCGACCTATTCGTCCCCCCAGGCCCCCGTGCTCTCCAGCACCGACAGGGCCCGGACGACTGCATGCCTTCACTCCGTAAATCCGCAGCTGGAACGCTCACGGCGCGACTTCTATCACCACCTAACCCCGTCCGGGGAGCCGCGTCGCCTCCTCCCGCCTCCACGCGTAGCCATGGTAGGCAGGGGGCCCGAATCCGCTCCCGGGACGCGGGGGGACTGTTAGGGGAGCCGGGCCGCGGGCTCGCGAGTCCTCGGGGCTCTGGGGGCCAGGGCCTCAGCCTGCGTATAGGACTCCGGGGGCAGAAAGACCTCGGCCAGGACTCACCACGCAAGGCCACGGAGCCGTCCCGCGGCGCCGCCATATTGTTGTCACGCAGTTTCCCAGGCGACCGGGATCTGTGCGCTTCTCATTGGCTAGTTCGAAGGGGCCCCTGAGTAACCAGCAGGCAGCGGAGGCGGGTACAGCCGTCCGTGCTCGAATTCTATTGGTCCACAGAGTCTAAACTCTTCGCGGGAGACTGCAAATCCCAGAATCCACCGCTCTGAGCAGACTCAGGGTCTGGGGAAATGGAGAGTTCATCCGTACCACCCCGAGGCGTAGAAAGCGAAGCTGGGATTAAATTCATGAAGCTGCTAGAAGCCTCTGGACCTGAATGTGTAATCCCAACGATGCCACTGTTTTGCTAAATTGATTTTGGGGAAAATAACTTCTGGGGTGGGGGTTTGTCAGCCTCTTCTTGATTCTATCCCGCGGTGTATATTTACTGCCTGACGATGGTGGAAAGGCTCTGGCTTGGGAGGAGGGAGGTCCTGAACAAGGCTCTTTCTGGGCCTGTTTTCCCACCTGTAGGATGAGGAAGTAGACCCCAGGCCTGGAATCAGATGGCTCTAGAAGTCTCTATTCTTGAGAATGGACAGCGTTTGCTTTGCTTTTAAATGATTTCCCGAAAGACCCTTGTCAGTTACGACCTCTTTGGGGCTCAAGTGTTTATTGGGTCCTAGCAGCTCAGGAGGGAAAGGTAAATAATAAAGGAGAGATGAAATTGAGGACGGAGTCAGTTTCTCTGGATTAGGATGAAATCATGCCTGTACCCACAAGGTTTAACGTCGGAAACAAAGTAACCACTCTCTGAGCTTGCCTTGCAGAACAGCAGGAGGACCGCTGACAAGCAAGTAGCTTGCTGACAGCCCTCCTCCTGACTAAGCGTCTCGCAGGAGCCTTGAGAAGTTAAAATGACCCAGTGTAAACTTTAGAAGTCACAGACTAAATATCCACCACATGCAACACATAGAAAACCGTCCCCCCCCCCCCCCCGGAATTTGCACATTCGACTCATAAAGAAATATGAAAGACAGTTGTGCCTGTGCAGAGGACTCTTAAAACTTCAGCCCCCAAGGCCACATGCTCCCTCTCTCTGTCTTGTTCTCACAATGTGCTTTGGAAAAACGCTTAGAACTGTACTAGAAAAGCTAATCTGTAACCAGTAGAAAAAAATAACTTGTTAGCAGAAAATTTATGTCCTCTGCCCAAACTGTTCCTTCTGTCCCAGATAAGGAAGTAACAGGTTTTCTTAGATTCCTCAGGACTGTTGCATTCAGCAGATCTGCTAAGCAGAAGTGGCCAACAGTCTGCGGTCATCCACCACCTGATACTCCTGAGGCCCCTCCCCAGCCCCATTTGCCTTGTATAAGTCACTTCCAAATCAGTTCTCCTTAAGATGGTTTTTTTCTGGATGATAGTCCACCATCTTGTGATTTGCTAGCTCATCACTTAAATAAACTTTTCTCTCTCTTTCCACCCCTTTGCCTCTGGACTGATTGGCCTTTATCTTGCAGCAAGCAGATGGGGCCCTTGCTCAGTAACAGAGAGGTCCTCTAAGTCCAGGCATTCCTTCAGAATAAAAACCTGGCTATCTCTGCCACCCTCCCCCTCTTCTCCACCCATATCACAGCTGCCTTGGATCAAACCTCACCATCTCTAGTTTGGCATGACATTTAGAACGTTTGGATTATGAGTTCTGCCTTCCACCCTTCTCAGTGTTCCAGAAACTATCATGCTCTCTCCTATGTTCAGGCCTCTCCTTCCAGTGGGAACATCCTCCTTTGCCTTTTCCGCCTGGGAAAATCCCCCTCAGTCCTTCAAGAACTAGCTCAAATGTCCCGTCCTCCATGAATACTCCTCCCCCCAAGCAGAATTACACTCTATATTCTAATAGCCCTGCTGCCATTATAGCATTTCTTATTCAGTTTTGTGATTGTTTCAGTATGCATCTCCCTCTTGGACTATGAACTCCTCAAGGGAAGGGACCCTCACTCATTCATCTTTCCTGACACACAGTAGGTGTCAATAAATTGCCTGAAATGAACTGAATGAACAGATGGATGAAAATTTACCTTTGACTGCTCTATGGTGCTATTGGATTGCAGCCCTCTTTTGTGGGAATGAAAGATGCAGGGCAGATCATACCATACTAAGGGCAGCAACCCCCTTTCTCTTCCTCCATCCCTGCTGTATCCCATTCTGTCACTGAGCTCAGGCACATGTTGAACACCTGCCCTATGTGGGACTGTGCTAGGGCCTCGGGCCAGTCATCAAAGAACACTGTGAAACTGGGACAGGGAGTGATCTGAGGTGTTTTGCATGCCTATGTCCCACACAATCATTTCCCCAACACAATCATTTTCTCTGAGTGGTCTTCCCCAAACACTTACCTAGAATATGTTCTCCTCCCTTTTCTCTTCTCTCACATTACCCTATTGACTCCCTCATAGCATTTATTGAAATCTTAAATTATCATTATTTTTCGTTTCCTCCCATTCGAATGTCAGCTACATGAGAGCAGAGACCACGCCTTTTTGTTCATTTCTGTATCCTCAGTGCCTAGACCACACAGTAGGCACTTAATAAATACATTATGCCATAGTAATATTTTCTTATGGTCTTCCACTTCACTAATTCTTTCTTCATTTGTGTCTAATCTGAAGCTAAACCTATTCACTGAGTTCTTAATTTCTATTATTGTATTTTTAAGTTCTAGAATTTCCATTTGGTTCTTTTCTATAATTTCCAGTTCTTGATCTTGTCTTATATGTCTTTGAATATACTGAACATTGTTATTTGAAAGTTTGGTTGATAATTCCATTAGCTGGATCTTCTGTGTAACTGTTTCTATTATCTGTTGCTTCTCTTGGTTTTTTGGTCACGTTGTCTTCAGTTTCTGTGAGGGCTGTGCTGTTGTTTCCTGTTCACTGTTACTCCTCAGGTGTAATCTTTCATGGTTCCAACCCAAAGCCTAGTCGGGGGTGGGAGAGTTTACCAGGGCCCTCCTTTCTTAGCTGGTCTTGAACTACAGTTTTTCTCCCCCCAGACCCATAAATTTATAGAAAGCTCTGCTCAGTTTCTCAGCTGTCTCTTCTGGAAGTGGCAAATACTTTTAAGGGAAAAGCAGCCCCAAATGAAGGGCTCACTTCTCCCTTCCCCTTAATTATGGTCTATATTGGTAACTCTCCAATGGTTAGTCTGCTGTTGCCCCATAATAAGTATTTACTGTCTGAATGAATAGAGGCATACAAGGCTTGGAGGTGGGAGTGGTCACCTTATAGTCACTCACTCATTCGGCTGTCCCTGACACCTACTCTGTGCCATGTTCTGTGCTATGTTGGGTTAGAGAGGCAACAAGACCTAGTACCCTTAGATTGTATTCTTAGCAGACACAATCTTTAGAGCAGAGGCCAACAGAAGAGGCTCCTGGAACACAGAGGAGCTTCCTCTCTTTGGAGGAGTTTCCTGGGGGAAGTGGAAAGTTTCCTAGGGGGAGGGGCTTCTGAGCTAAGTCTTGAAGAACAAATAAGAGTTGGCCAGATAAAATAATTGGAGAAGGGCTTTCCTTGCAGAGAAAACACATGGGGGTGTAAAACAGCCTGGGGCAGCTGGGGAGAAGTAAGTTGGGTGAGGGCAAGGGTGTGGTGTGTATGGCATGGGGGAGGGATGTTATGGAACCCAAAACAAGACGGGAGGAAGGCAAGGGCCTTCGGTGTCACACCAGGAGCTTGATCTTGATCCCTGGGGAGAGTTGCAGAGGGTGTGGACTGAGACTTCCCATCCTGCTGGTTAAGGTTCAGAAGTCACTTTTGGAGAAGGTGTGCAGTAGGACATTGAAGTCGAGAGAGAGACTATGTACAATCTCCAGCTCTGCCGTTAACCTGCCCTTCTCTGGCCCTCAGTTTTTCCATCTGTGAAATGGGGGTTCTCTGGGCACTTTAAGCTTTGTGACTAGTGTTCTGTCTATACAGAATGAAATTTCGTTCTGTCAAGATAGAATGACTGCTGAGAGGGCAGGAGAGGACAAGATGTGAAGCCCCACTTCTTCTCTGAAATTCTGAAGACTCCAGATGCCCCTCCACGCCCCAAGTCCTGAAGACTCTTAAAAACCCTTCCAGCAGCCTCAAGACCCCACCACCACTAGCAGCTCAGGCTCACACCACAGCAGAGGTGCGGGCTGTTGAAATGAAATTTCTGGGGCTTGTAAGAAAATTTTTACAAATAAGAGCCTGGCATTTAAGTATCCTCACATGCAACCCCAGAAGGGAGAAAGTACAACCCGGCTGGCTTTGGAACTTAGCCTGTCCAGCTGCCTCTTCGTAAGAGGGAAGAAGACTGCCCAGTGTGACACAGCCAATTTTCAGCAGAGCAATCTTGGACTTCAGCAGGAGCCTCCTGTCTCCTGGGCCAGTGCCCTTCCGGCACCTGCTGCCTCCCTGACTCCCACGAACCCCCAGAATCATCCACCCCCACAGATGCAGTGAAGGCAGCCAGGACTTGTGTCAAGGGTCAGGAGAGACCTCCGGTGAAGGAGTTGATGGGGTGGACAGTGATGGACAGTTGAGTACTCCTCCCACTTCCCACTCCCTCCTTCCCAGGAGCCTCAAGACGGCCGCCTCCTCCTCCTGGCTTTCTCTCACCAGTCTTGACTCTCAGTTCTTTCTTTTTCACCAGGGCTGGAGGCCCCTAAGGGCCCACTCAGGTTCTTCTGAAGGTTGCAACATGAGGCCTAGCCCATAAAAGTAGAAGGGAAGTGAGTTTAGACTAAGAATAAAATAGACTAAGAAAGGGAGAGTGGGAGAGGCTGGAGACAGAAGTGGCTCAGGGAATCAAGATAGAATTGACTTCCAGGGCAGCCCGAAGTTACATACATGGCTGTGGCTTCAGACAGACCTGGATTCAAGTTCAAATGAGACTGGCTCCACCATTTACTGCCTTGGACGAGTCACTTAATATCTAAGCCTCAGTTTCTTTAAGAAAATGGGGATAATCATAAAACGTATTGCAGAGCCCCACTGAGAGAATAAAGTGAGAGAAGGTATAAAGAATGGAGCGCCATCCAAGCGGTTTGGTGATCCCTCTCACCCCCCACCCCTCACTGGGACTTCACAGCCACCCCCACCCCAAATCCCTTCCACTGCATTTGAGTTACCTGTTGCCCCGCCCCTAGCCCTATTCCCATCCATCCTACATTGATACAAACAACCCATCTCCTACTTTCTTTATCCAAATCACCAAATGCTAGGTCTTAATAAACTGCAGAAATAACCCCCTTTAGTCTTCTCACTTGAAATGGGGAAGCTGAGGCACAGAGGGAATGGGCGTGTCTAGAAGCTAGGTTTCTGGATTCCTAATGCAGTGTTAATTCATTTTCACAGAAATCTACCACCAACCCCTCACTAAATTTTAATGTTCCCCCAGCCTTCATTCTGAACACGTGGAGCCATCTACAGTCTTATATTGAAAGCTGAGTCTATCCCAGCCTTCTCCCCTTCAGCTCTATCCCCAGCCACAATCTGTTTTTAATTACATTGCATTCAATCCTCTGGCAGCTCTTCGATTAAAAGTTCAAAGAGGCAGTTACTGGCCCAGGGTCTCAGAGCTGATAGGAGATTAAACCAAGATTCAATCCCCAGTATGCATGACTCCAAGCCCAGGGCCCTATTTACTGCCCCACAGCTGTCCCCTTGATTTGCCCACGCACCATCCCCTGGGATTTGTCTCTGTCTTTATCCAGAAGGGCCTGGTATCTTCAACCCAAAGTTGTGTAGAAAGAAATCAGTTCCTCCTCTTACCCCATAGGCCCTCCTTCCTCTCCCTTTCAGCCTGCCTCCGCCTCCCCTGCCTCGTGGTTCAAAAGCAATCAAGCCAAAAAGAGCCTGCAGACAGCCCTGCGTTCATTTCCAAAAGTTGCTGCCAAGAGAGCCACCAAGATCCTCCCAAGATGAAGGGCTTCCTCTTCCTCCTGTTCACCATCAGCCTCCTGGTTATGATTCAGGTAAGAGCAGCCCCACAGAGCCCCTGGCACCACTGCCCAGGACTGCCCAGCCCTGCCTGGCACAGGAGGAAGGGAATACAGGCTTCTGCGCACCCAGCCTTCTCTCAGAGCCTTCAGCAGAGGAACCAAGGACTCAGGGGCCCAGCTCCTAGCCTTCCAGGCCTTCTGGCTGGGGTCAGGCTGCTTGAGGGCTGCCCCTGAGCAGAAGCCTGTACCCAAGGCTGGGGAGCACTTACAGGGCTCCAGGCACACTGAGGCACCCCTTGGGTGTTAGGAAAAATAGGGAATTAGGAGGTTTTGGAAGACAACCCTAAGTGAGATGGCATCAACCCACAGAGAACCTGGGGACACGGTCCTGTTGGAGGAGGCCAGGAAACGTTCCACTGGAGCCTGATCTGGTTCTGGAGGTGGCAGGGAACCACCTGGGGAAGAAGCCTGCATGTTCAGCAATGCAAAGAAGACAGAAATCTCCCACTCCAGAAACAGCTGGAGTCTCAAAATCAACTGCTATGCCAGGAAGCAGCTTTGGCAGCATCCCCTGTGCCCAGAGGGCACTAGTTAGGATAGGAGCCAGGAACCATCAAGTTCTTGATCAAGAACAGCTTGACCACCACCAAAAACAGCTTAATCTCTATCAAGAGCAGCTTTAGCTGCAGCTTGATCAAGCATTGAGAACAGTTTGATCACCATGCGGCCATCTTCTCAGGGAAAGTTGCACCCTCCCCATCTACCCATCCACCCACCCACACTTTGCCAGGTGCCTCCTCACCAGCCCTGTCTCGTATGACCCCAAGACTGTGATGGGCTCTTCTGCCCATCCAAAAGATGAGGAAACTGAGGCTCAGAGAGGTTAAGCCCCTGGCCTGGCTAGTAAAGACATGGGCTGGGGCCACAGGCTCTCCTGTCTCCTGCATGCTGGAGGAGCTGGTGATTTGGCAGAGATGAAAGGAAGCTTCCACGGGAGGTAGGCTAGGGACCACCTCTAACTCTGCCTGTCTCAAGGTAGGAAGCAGCCAACTATTCCCACAGGACCTTGTAGCAGAAGTCGAGGTCATGGGGGACAGAGAACTGGGGACTTTTGTATGAGAGGTAGGGGAACTGTGTTTCTAACCAACAAACAAGAGATTCAAAAGCCCCCTCCGCTTGCCCCACTTCTCTTGCAGATACAGACTGGAGTCTTGGGAAACAAGACCAAGACCATGACCACCACGAAGAGACCCACCAAGGGCGCAGCGCCAGCACTCGGCAGCCTGGGTGGTAGCTGTGTCCTTCTCTTCTTTACCAACGCCCTCATCCGGCTCTTCCACCTCAGCTGAGGTGACACACCTCAGCCCTAGCCCTGTGCCCCCTGAGACACCTGCCATCATCACTAGTGAGAGAACCACCCTCCCTTCCCCCTTATCCTTGGGAAGGGTTGACACCAGAGATGACCAGGTTGTGGGAATTGACCAGCAGTGCCTTGGGGGCAATGGCCAACACAGGGAGGGACTGATGTGGAGGGGCAAGCACTACCCAGCTGGGGGTCAATAAAGTTGTCGTGTACTTAGAGTGGGGTTCTGTGTGTGGTCACTGGACATCACTGGGCCCCAAGAGCCAGGTTTGCAGCAGCACCAGAGTCTCCCATGCCCCTATCAGCAGGTCAGGTGGTACCAGGGAGCTCCTGCCCCAGCTTCCCTTCCTGAAGTCCAAATGCTGAGGCCCCTCCCCTTGGGATCACCTTGCAGGGACAAGGCCCAGAACCTGCCATCCTCACCATCTCCTTTATTTGCATTTGCTTCACCTGTCCCTGGGTGTTTGGGAATGATGGTCCCAGAGGATGCCCCTGCCCACTAGATCTTGAACATCCCAAGTTGCAGAGGCTCAGAGAGCCCCCTACCCTAGTACCTGGGTGTCTTCAGCATGACAGATTCAGAGAGAACACCGCCCCCAGCTTCCAGGGGTTCCCAGCCTCACAGTTGTACTCCTGTCCTCACATCTCCAACCACATGAGGCGGCTGAGAGGGATAACGAGGCAGCTGCCCACTTCCTCCCCACCCACCCATGGGTTGGGAAGGTGGGAAAGACAAACAGCTGCTCTAACCACTCCTACTGCCTCCTGGATTTGGGGTGGTGGCATTGGGAGCTGGAGAGAGGGAAGGGAGCCCCAGAGAAGCCCCCGAGGGCCTTGAACATCTCTGCCTCTTCCGGAGGACCCTGGCCAAGGGGCTGAGAAGTGCCTGTTAGATTGAGGAACAGAGGAAGCTGCTCCCCTTCTTTGTTCTGCTCTGAGTCGGGTTAGGAACCTAGACCCTCTGTCCTGGCTTCTTTGACTGAGGCCAAACCTTTAGGCCTTAAGACCCGAGCTGGGAGAAGTTGAGAGGAGCCCTGGTTGGCAAGGCCCTTCGGGGCATGGCTCCCACTCACCTCTCCCGCCTGGCCCACTGCGCCCCCGTCACTCCGAACTTCCAAGTTCTCACCCCTGGGCTTGTCTGCCTCCCTAGAACACTTTTCCTGTGCCACCCTCTAGCCTGACTGACCCTTTCCCATCCTCCACACCTCAGCCGAGGGTCCCCTCCTCCAAGCAGCCTTCCCTGTGCCCCTAAATGGTTTAGGCTCCTCCTCTGTGCGTCCCTCCACTTCCATTCTTACCCTGTCACCAAGCACATCACCCTACCCATGGGAATCCTCCACTGGACTGTGAGTTCCCTGAGGGCAGGGACCAAGGGACTCGGTTCATGTTTGTGCCCCCACAGCCCAGTGCCAGACCTGGCCGGGAGCAGGCTCTTAGAACACCTCATTTGAGGGCACAGCATGAGAGACACTCCCTCACCAGTTAGTCTGGTCCCAGGGCTCCCTCTGGTGGCCAAGGGAGGCCTTACATCTGAGCCCCAGAACTGGAACTGGGAGGGAAGGGCCAGGCTGAGTGTTGGGGGAAGAAGGCAGGTGAATAAACCCTCACCCCCAGCCCCAAATATCAAGGTGCACAGAGACGAGGATACCTGGGAGTATATTAGAAAACAGCTTATGTTACAACAAAAAAACCTATAAAAATATGTCATCCCCGGGAAAGCCTCCAGGGCTGGGGGGAGGGGGGAGCGTTCAAAGCACATGGACAGTCCAGATCTGGGACGCCCTGTCCTTGGCCAGCTCCCACAGCACAGCGTGGTCCCGGTCATAGCCCCGGCCACCTGGGGGAGGGAATAAGAGATGGGGAGATAGTCAGAGAGAGCTGGGGACTCCACTGCCCTCACCCCCTCAGACTTCCGCACACATCCCCACCTTACCCTTCACGTCTAGGATCCGCCCTTCGAACATCTGGCTGCAGATGTGGCCCGATTCATTGATGCTCCACGTCTGGCGGGGCAGGCGGCTCTCAGCCCACAGCACCACCTTGGAACCTGTACTGGGGGGTCCAATCACCTGCAGGCTCATGGTGGGGGCCACCTGAAGCCCCAGGAGGTCATCAGGCACTGTTTCTGTGGGACTCCGCCAAACCCAAGACACCTTTGAGCCACCCAGCTTTGAATCTTGGCTCTTATGGACTGTGACCCTGGGCAAATCTCTTAATCTTTCTGAGCTTTGGTTTCCTTGGGGATGGGAATCTCTGAGTACCGGCTGTTGTGAGGGTTCAATGTGAGAAATCATAAATGGGCTGGAAAAATATTAGCTCCTCCAGGAAGCCTGTCACGACTGACTCCCAAAGCACAGGCATTAGTATCAGAGATTACAAACTTATTGACTGTGTGCCTTTCAGCCAATTACTTAACTTCTCTGTGCCCTAGTTTCCTTACCTATAAACTGGGGAGTATAACAGGACCTGCTCCCTAACGCCCTCTGAGGACTGTACGAGGCATTCATGTGAAGGACTGAACACAGCACCTGGCACAGAGCCAAGGTTCCTCTCACTCCAAGTAAAAGACAAAACCCTTTCAATGGCCTACAAAGACTTACACCCCCATAACCTTTCTGACCTCATCTCCTGCTCCTACTTCCCTCACTCACTTCACTCCAGCCATTCAGGTGGCCTTGCTAGTCCTAGAAAATTCCAGGCTTGTTCCCACCTCAGGGCCTTTGCACTTGCTATTCCTCTGCCTGAATACTCTTCCCTCAGACATCTGCATGGTTGCCTCCCTCAAATGTCACCCTCTCAGGAAGAGCTCCCCTTGTCAGAGCTGCTGACACTCCTTATTCTCCTTCCATCATTTATTTTTTCTCTCTTGCACTTTTCCTCTTTGAAAGTACTAAGATATGTTACTCCTTGAAATTGTTTCTGTCTCTTCTCACTAGGATGTAAGCTTCAGGAGGGCAGGGGGGTATTTCTGTCTTCTCACTGCTGTATTCCCAGCACCTAGGGCAGGGCCCGGCACATCGCAGGTGCTGAAGACACATTTGTGGTGTGGATCTATTATTATTAGTAGGATCCAAGCTCTGTCACAAGATAACAGAGCTGGGAGGTCCCTTACAAGCATTTGGTTCAACATTCTTCTCTTGCACAGAGGGGACTGAGACCCAGAGAAGAGCCTCAATTGCCCAGGGGTGCACAGCCTGCATTCTCCACCTCCCTAGGGTCCTGGCATCTGTGTATATCTCTCTGTTTCTCCGGCCTAAGGGTGGGTCCTGTTCCTGACTAGGCCTATGAGAGCCTGGGGCCCTGGTGTCCCTGTCCCAGCCCCCAAACTGGTACCTGGTTCTTCAGCAGCCCATCCTCGTAGTACCAGATGGAGCTGCCTCCGGCTTGCGGCTCCGAGACCACCACACGGCCCGCCTTCATGTCCTCGACGTGGTCCGGCACTGCCAGGAATCCCCCCAGAGCTGCATTCCAGAGGCGGAAATATGCCCGGCGCTGGGGAGTGGGGGGAGCTGAGAGTCAGGGGTCCCTGGGGAGGAATGCTCCTGCCTGGGTCCCCAACGCACTCAACCCTAGGCCCTCCTTCCTGCCCCTAAACTTTCCTCGGCCCTGCTCCGTCACCCCTTCTTTCACGCACACACACCAAAGGCACATACGTAGCGCACACCCACACCCACATGGTTCCAGGTCTACAGAGATACTCACAGACATATGCAGAGGGACACGCCAGCAGATACACCCAAGGTCCACATGGTTGCACAGAAGTTTGCAGCAGACAAACACATGGATACACGCAGCCATGCAAACGCACACATACTAACTGATGCGCAGGTCCCCCCAGCCATCTCTGTGCCTGGGACTTATGTTTGCTAAGAGGATGGATGCATGTAGGAACACAGACATGCAGACACACACTCATGCTGAAGAGGTGCCATGGTGGGGAAACACGGGACTGTCAGACATGAGACCAGGCTCTGCCACAAATCAGAGGGGGTCTTGGATAGGGGTAATAACAGTAATAAGAACCCAGCTAATGTTTGTTGAGTGCCTACCCACTCAAGCACTGTTCTAAGGGCTTTATATACATTATTTATCTTCAGTCCTCAAAACAACTCCATCATCTATATTATCCCCATTTTTAAAGATGAGGAAACTGAGGTCCACGGAGGTACAGTACTTGCCCAAGATTGCAGAGCAAATCCTTGTCCACTTCTCTGGGCCTTTATTTCCTCATCTGTGAAATGGGAGGGTGGGAGATAATCTCCAAGATTTCTTCTAGCAATGATGTTAGAAGAGTCTGTGAATATGGGGACCACACAAATAGCCTCATACAAAGAGGCACACACTCTCAACACTGTCACAAATGCAGGCACGTGTAGTCATAAACACACTCTCACAGACGTGTACAGACACACAACCACAGGTGACCTCCGGAGCACACAGACGCTTGGATACAAACGACATCATGGGCACAGGCACGCGCACGTGTGCGCGCACACACATATACACACACCCCATGGCTGGGCCTCCACCTAAATGCAAGTTTACATAAATGGGACACATGTCCAGACACACGCTCACAGACATACAGGTCACACATGTGGACATAGTGTTCCCCAAAGTGAGGCGTGCTTACTACTGGTGGGTGGTACGTGAGATAAATTTCAGTCCTATGTGGATAAACACATTGTTAAAAATTTAACGGTAATGTATTTATTATAATGTCTACTAAAAAAATCATATACACACATCAAACCCAGGATTTAGGGTTATTCTTTAGGATAAGGATAAAGCAAAAAAAAGTGAGTTGATTTAAAGAAAAACCTTAAACAGCTAAGTATTAACCATTCAGTATTAATGGTTTACGAGGAATGAGATGTGGCAAAAATTGTGACAAAAGTACACAAATGCCGAGTTTGGGAAACACACAGACACACACCCAGACAGGCTGGCATGGACACGCTCAACCTGACTCGCTACCCACCTGCTTGATGGGGTAGAGGGAACCCACTCTCTGGGTCCCGCTGTAGGTCAGCCAGTTGGTGATCTCACAGCTGCTCACCAGCCACTGGCGGCCCCGGAAGTCGCTGTGCTCACAGAGTACCCAGCTGGGCCCAGCAAGCGCCAGAGACACAGAAGGGAAGACAGACAGGCAGACAGGTGAAGGAGGAGGCACGGACAGCAGAATGTTCTCCATCTCCTTTTCTCTCATGCTGGGGCTTCTCTGTCTAGGGCCGGGGTCCCCAGCGGGGAGAGGGAGGCTGGGAAGTAGGTTTGGGGTTTGCAGGACAGAGGAGGGTCCTGGAGAGGACCCCCGGGCTGGGGTTCAAGCCCTGAGAGCCAGTGACCTGCTCAGTCTGCACTTCTCCTCCCTCTTGGCTGGGCGGGGAGTGGAGTAGAAGTGGGGATGGGGGAGAGGCTAGAGACCCAGCCCTCAATCCAGCAGCCCCCAATCCCTCGTGCCTCCCCACAGCACACTTACACGCCCCCCTTGATCTGCACAGACAGCACGTGGTTGTTGAAGCCCTCGGCTTGCAGGCTCCGCACCTCCCGGTTGAGCTCAATCTCCTTCCCCTCAAAGCACTCCAGTCCATACAGGAAAATGGAGGGCTCTGAAAAGTGCTGGGGACCCAGGGACATAGAGAGGGGTGAGGCCACGAGAGCCCCGGCCCCAGACTCAGCCCCCCAATCCAGATACCCCAACACCCAGATTGGCATTTCAGGCCCCCTGCCCTCCTGAGCTCCACCCCACAGGGTCCCTGACTCCTGGACACTGCCAGCTGGATGTCCCCCAGATTCTCAGAGGCAGCATCTGCCAGACTGGGCCCCCCTCTGCCCCCTCACACCTTCTCCCCAGGAAATGGCACTTCTAAGAATAGTAATAATAATAATAATGGTAATTATAGCAGTTCTTATATATTCAGGGCTTATAACATGCCAGATTCTGTGCTGGGCGCTTTACCAATCTCATTACAACTTCTCAACAACACTATAAGGTAGGCGCTATTATTACCCCTGCTTAATGGGGAAACCGAGGCTGGGGAAGATTAAACCACTTTCTTAAAGCCCTAAAGTGGAGCTTCAGAACCAGGTCTATCTGCCTTCAGAGCCCAACGTGTAATTGTAAAGAGCTTGGACTCAGCAGCTGGGCTGCCTCAGGGAGAACCCGGCTCTGCCTGTTACCAGCTGTGTGACCTGGAGCATGTCACGTGACCTCTCTGTGCCTTAATTGTCACATCTAGAAGAGGGAGATGGTGATGAACCTCAGAGGGTTATGGTGAGGTTTAAACACCTTAGTACACGGGGAGCCTGTCAAACACAGCCTAGAACATGGTATGTGCTCAGTAAACCTCAGCTGTCCTGCTTGTTCTGCTTGTCCTGCTGCTGCTGGCCCACCCACCCAGTCACAGTCCTACAGACTCTAGCTCCCTAATATGGCCCGTGTCACTTCTCTCCATCTCCTGCCTGGTCCAGGCTTTCATCACTCATTCTGGCTTCCTGGAGCAGCAACTCCAATGCCTGGCCTCTGCCCTGCCCCCAGCCTGCCCTGAGCACTCCTCTCCCTGTACCACTTCTGTGTCTGGACACACCACCCTGCATTGGAATCTTTATGTCAATGTGACCATATGTTCCTCGAAGGTGGGGCTGTGTCCAATTTATTTTAGTCTCCCCAGGACCTATCTCAGTGAGCGCTCAATAAATCTCTAGAAAGTTGAACTGGCTTTGAAGCCCTGGGGTCAAGGGGACCCAGAATGGTTCTGAAGAAGACTAGATTCAAGCCCCAGCAGCTCACTCAGCATCGAGAAGAGGCTGTGTCCACGACTCCCCCAGCAGCACCCCCTGCCTCAGGGATGCCTGGAGCTGGACAAGGGCACTCACCAGGGGTACCTTCTGGAGAGACCCCAAGACTGTGGAGGCTAGGCAGCCCATGGCCGTGAGAGTGGGGAACTCGCCCTCAGAGAGAATGTGCTGGTCACCCTCAAAGTTCTTCTCATCAAACAGGATCCAGCTGGGGAAGAGGAAGAATGGGGGGATGTGAGTGGGTATTTGAGTCTGCCCTGTCCTTGGCCTGCCCCCTGAGGCTCCCTGAGAGTGGATGCAGACTTGACTGTAACCCTCCTGGTCCAGGAGAGATCAAGGATGAATAGGCACTGCAGCAGCAGGGACTAAGGTCAGACTTTGGAAATGACTGAATGAAATCATACTGCCCCATGGAGAGAAATTTGGTAATATCAAGCAAAACTCTATGCACAGGGCCAGCCTGGTGGTGCAGCGGTTAAGTTCGCACATTCCACTTTGGTGGCCCAGGGTTCACCAGTTCAGATCCCGGGTGTGGACCTACACACTGCTTATCAAGCAATGCTGTGGCAGGCATCCCATATATAAAGTAGAGGAAGATGGGCATGGACCTTAGCTAGGGCCAATCTTCCTCAGCAAAAAGAAGAGGATTGGAAGTAGATGTTAGCTCAGGGCTAATCCTCCTCCTCAAAAAAAAATGCTTTATGCGTAATTACTCAGCAATCCCATTTCTGGAATCCATCCCAAAGACACCCTTCAAAAACATGAAAAGACACATGCACAAGGAGGTTCATTACAACACTGTTTGCAATGACAAAAAGTGGAAGCAGCCCAAATGTCCATCAACCAGGGATTGGTTAATAAGCTAAGAATCTAAAATACAATATAGCAGTAAAAAAAACCTCTTAAGAGGATATAAAGTGATCTCCAACCTGTCAAATAAAAAGCAAGGTGTATAACAGTGTTCTAGAATGTTCCCGTTTTCCTTTTTTTAAAGCGATTTCTTTTTAAAAAATTTTTTTAAAATTTTTTTCCTTTTTCTCCCCAAAGCCCCCCAGTACATAGTTGTATGTTCTTCGTTGTGGGTCTTTCTAGTTGTGGCATGTGGGACGCTGCCTCAGCGTGGTTTGATGAGCAGTGCCACGTCCATGCCCAGGATTCGAACCAAAGAAACACTGGGCTGCCTGGAGCGGAGCGTGCGAACTTAACCACGGGGCCAGCCCCTAGAATGTTTCCTTTTTTTAAAATTGAGATATAATCCACATACCATAAAATTCACTCTTTCAAAGTGTATAATTCAGTTGTTTTTAGTATATTGACCAGGTTGTAGTATGCTTCTTTTTGTGTAAGAAAATGGGGGAGGAGAGAAACAAAATATACTTGTTATATTTCTATAGTTATATGTAAATTTACATATGGTGTATACTTGCTTATATCTTCAAAAAGAAACAAGGGAAAAATAAACACTTAAAAAAAAAAGATTACCTGTCAGGGAAGAGAGAGAAAAAGGTAGCAGAGACAGAGACGGAAGCTACTGTTTTTAAGTCTTGACTTGGGAACTGCTGTGGACTGAATGTGTCTCCCCAAAATTCGAACATTGAAGCCCTAACTTCAAATATGATGGACTTTGAGAGGTAATTAGGTTTAGACGAGGTCATGAAGGTAAAGCCCCCCTGATGGGATTAGTATCCTTATAAGAAGAAGAAGAGACAGGAGCTCTCTCTCTGCCATGTGAGGACACAGCAAAAAGGCAGCCATCTAAGGAAGAGAGCCCTTACCAGGGAACTCAACCGACCAGCACCTTGATCTTGGACTTCCCAGCCTCCAGAAATTCAAGAAAATAAATTCCTGTTGTTTCAGCCAGTCAGCGTATGGTATTTTGTCACAGCAGCCCAAGCTGACTAACACAGGAACATTGTAAATATTTAATGTAATTAAAAAACAGAATTAGGGGAGTGATGTCAGCATCACAGTGGAGTGATTTATTCCCTTTGTCTCTCCCCTAAGTTAAAATAAATGGACATTCATTAACCAACAGAGGATTCCCTGCACAGCACAATAGGATGTCTGAGAGATCCACACAGCCATGCGTGTGAAGGTGGGTGGACTGGGTCCCCAGAAGACAGTGGAACTAGGTGAGCACACCTCTCCCCCTCCCTGGTGGCAGTGACCTAGTTCGTGGGTTCTCACACAGCAGCCGGCACGACTGTAAGAGAAAGTAGGGGCAGCTTCACCTGTGCACGAATGCCTTTGGAGTGGTAGCCTGGCCTGTGGAAGCACTCACCATGCCACAGTGGTCCCTCCTGTGGGAACACTTCTCACTGAGTGGTGCAGCTCAGCCCCCGTGAAGGAGCCCCCACCAAGTGCAGCAGCTTAGCCGAACCACCCGCAAGCAGAGAGCCGGCCAGAGCAAAAGGAAGTGCCCCTTCTCTCTTGCCTAGCAAGCAGCTCAGCTGGTCTCCTGCAGAACTCAGTGGTGCTACACAAGAATGACCCACCCATGGAGCACACAGGCCCAACCTGCACATCTGTGCATGACCTGACAAGCAGCTGTGGCCAGAGCACAAATGCAGACCAGCCCTACCAGCACAACTTCCAGAAGACAGGGTGGAATCAGAAAACATAGCTCCTGCCCCACCCCCAGTGGTGGCAGGTGGAATCTGCAACCTGATACTACCACAAATGTGCCAGCAAAGGATCAATTCATCAAACACCATGAGGAACCACATTAACACTTCAGAGCAGAAGGAAAATGACAAGTCTCCAGAAATGAGTCCTGAAGTCACGGAAATTTACAATGTAAATGACAGAAAATTCAAAATAATTGTCATAAAGAAAGTTAACAAGTTACAAGAAAACAGAAAGACAATCCAATGGGCTTAGGAATAAAATTAATACGCAGAAGGAATACTTCATCAAAGAGACTGAAATGATAAAAACAAACAAACAAATTCTGGACATGAAGAACACAATTAATGAGACAAAAAATAATCTAGAATCCATAAAAAATAGAGCTGACATTATGGAGGACAGAGTTAGTGATTTAGAGGATAGAAATACAGAAATGCTTCAGGTGGAAGAGGAAGAGAACTAAGATTTGTAAAAAGTGAAGAAATTCTTCGAGAAATATCCAACTGAATTAGGAAAAGCAACATAAGGATTATAGGTATTCCAGATGGAGAAGAGGGTGAGAAAGGAGCAGAGAGCTTGTTCAAAGAAATAATAGCTGAGAACTTCCCAAACCTGGGGAAGGAATTGGACTTACAAGTACATGAAGAAAATAGAACTCCTAATTACATCAATGCAAAAAGATCTTCTCCAAGGTATACAATATTAAAACTGGCAAAAGACAATGACAAAGAAAAAATATTAAGTGCAGCAAGGCAGAAGAAAATAACCCACAAAGGAATCCATATCAGGCCTTCAGTGGATTTCTTAGCAGAAACCTTACAGGCAAGGGGAGAATGGAATGATATATTTGAAATACTGAAAGACAAAAACTTTCAGCCAAGAATACTCTATCCAGTGAAACTATCCTTCAGATACAATGGAGAAATAAAAGCTTTCCCAGATAAACAAAAGCTGAGGCAATTCGTTGCCACTAGGCCTGACTTACAGGAAACATTGAAAGGAGCGCTCCCACCTGAAACTAAAAAGCAAAGGTTTACAAAACCTTGAGCAAGGAGATAAATAGACAGACAGAATCAGAAAATTGCAACTCTATATCAGAATAGGTTAGTAAACACTTAATTATAACATAAAAGACAAACAGAAGGAAAGCATCAAAAATGACTATAAAAACTTCAATTTAGTCACAAACTCACAACACAGAAAAGAACAATTTGTGACAACAATAACTGAGAAGGGGAAGAGGAGAGGGATGGAACCTACTTAGGCTAACGGAGACAAGAGGCATTCAGAAAATGGACTATCTCATCTATGAGATCTTTTATACAAACTTCATGGTAACCACTAAACAAAAAATCATAGCAGAGTCACAAATCACAAAGAGAAAACTGAAAAACCATCACAGAAAACCACCAAACTGAAATGGCAGTCAGAAATACAAGGGAAGAGAAACAATGGAAATATAGAACAACTGGAAAACAAGAGATAAAATAGCAGGATTAAGCCCTCATATATCGATAATCACTCTAAATGTAAATGGATTGAATTCTCCAATCAAAACACAGAGTGGTTGGATGGATTAAAAAACAAGACCCAAAAACATGCTGCCTCCAGGAAACACATCTCAGCTCTAAAGACAGACATAGGCTCAGAGTGAAGGGATGGAAGATGATACTCTAAGCAAATGGCAAGCGAAAGAAAGCATGTGTTGCCATACTTACATCAGACAAAGCAGACTTTAAGATAAAAAAGACAATGAGAGACAAAGAGGGGCAGGATATAAGGATAAAAGGGATATTCCACCAGGAGAACATAACACTGGGGCTGGCCCCATGGCTGAATGGTTAAGTTTGTGTGCTCTGCTTTGGTGGCCCAGGGTTTCACTGGTTTGGATCTTGGGTGCAGACCTAGCACTGCTCCTCAAGCCATGTTGAGGCAGCATCCCACAAAGCAGAGCCAGAAGGACCTACAACCAGAATATACAACTATGTACTGGGGGGCTTTGAAAAAAGAAGAAGAAGAAAAAAAGACTGGCAACAAATGTTAGCTCAGGCACCAATCTTTAAAAAAATTAAAAAGAGGACCTAACACTTATGAATGTATATGCATGTACCACAGGAGCACCAAAATATATAAAGCAACTATTAACAGACCAAAAGGGAGAAATTAACAGCAATACAATAACAGTAGAGGACCTCAACACCCCACTTACATCAATAGATAGATCATCCAGACAGAAAGTCAACAAGGAAACAGTAGCCTTAAATGATATAACAGACCAGATGGACTTAATAGACATATATAGAACATTCCATCCCAAAACAGCAGAATACACATTCTTCTCAAGTGCACAAGGAACTTCTCAAAGATAGACCATATGTTGGGAAATAAGGCAAGCCTCAATAAATTTAAGAATATTGGGGGCTGGCCCAGTAGTGTAGCAGTTAAGTTTGCATGTTCCACTTCTCAGTGGCCCGGGGTTCGCCAGTTTGGATCCTGGGTGCAGACATGGCACCGCTTGGCATGCCATGCTGTGGTAGGTATCCCACATACAAAGTAGAGGAAGATGGGCATGGATGTTAG